AACATAGATTAGTAGGCATGGGTTACTAATTAAGAGAGAGCCAGCCAGTAAGAAGCCCAAGCCACTGGCCAACAGTTTAATAGTTAATATGTTAATATGTCTCTGTCTCTTCTTTCAAAGGTCTTCTTAGCGTTAGTTATTCCTCTCAACACCCTCCCTTCTCCTGCCCTCCCATCCCCCACCCCATTTAACCCTTTTCCTACTTCATAATTAACGCTTCGTTCCCTCCCATTTCCATTGGCTCACATGACTCCTTATTAATTTTATAACTTCTACGAATATGCCCTAATATAAATATTCGAATCTAACGATTCAAAGCTAACATCCAGGCTGGGCGTTGGTAGCCCACACCTTTAGTCTCAGCACTCAGGATTCAGAGGCAGATGGATCTCTGAGTTTGAGGTCAGCTCGGTCTACAAAGTGAGTTCCAGGACAGCCATAGCCACACAGAGAAACCCCCGTATCAAAAAAACCAAAACCAGGGGGCTGGAGAGATGGCTCAGCGGTTAAGAGCACTGACTCTTCTTCCAGAGGTCCCGAGTTCAATTCCCAGCCACTACATGGTGGCTCACAGCCGCCTTGAATGAGATCTGCATGCAGGCAGAAGACTGTATACATAATAAACAAATAAAATCTTAAACAAAACAAACAAAACTATAGCATCCATACATGAGAGGGAGCACTCGGTATTTATCTTTCTGGGTCCGGGTGACCTCACTGAGAATGACTATTTCAGCCTCCACCCATTTACCTGGGGATCTCATAATTTCATTTTTCATTACAGATGAGTTATATTCCCTATTTCTGATAATGCCACTGTCATAGGACATGGGTAATTGAGCTGTCACGGACCTGGAAACTCATCTCTACTGGCTAGCTTTCATAGTGGTGGAAGGTTCAGCACTTGCGTTCAAGGACAAAAGTAATCAAAGGTCTTACCCAGCTGTGAACCCCAGGAACTAGGATAGCAATGGCCCCACTGGTGCAATAGTGATGCAAATGTTAGGGGTGTAACCAACTACTTCTGATTGGGCTAAAAGGCAGCTCTACAAAATGAAACTCATGCCTGATAGGGTTAACCCAAAATCGATAGCTGGCTAGCTCATAAGGCCCTAGATACTGTTATTCTGCTAAAAAGACAGAGTAATAACCTGCCCCCCTCAGGTTTTATTTTTATACCCATAAATTCGTACCTGTCTTCAACCTCACCATGTTACGGAATCGCCACAGTGATTATTTTAAACCACTAGCCATCAATTTCAATCCCTTAACCTAAGCACCTATAAGGACAAAGGGACTTCCCATAACATGGATTCCAGTCATGTGGTAATTTTTTAAACTATTGTGAGAGGCAAAGTTACATTTTAAGTTTTAATTAGTATGCCTTAGAGATCCATGAAACAAAAGTGCCCCTTGCCCAAGGACAGACAAGCTGGGGGCTTGTTGTTTATGGGAGATAACAAGCCACATGTTTTCACTCCCCTAAACAAGTTTGTTTGACCCATCTGCCGGGGATGCTCTTGGTCACGTGGGCCAGAGGTTCACAGGCTGGAGGTACATCAGGATGTGTGCTTGCCCCTGATTGGACCTGATGGGAAATGCAATGAATTATGGGTTTCCCTTCTTAAGTGGCTACAAACCATGATTTGGGGCCATTTCCCAGGAGCTGGGGTATGGACCTGGCCAGAGACCATCCACCTGCCAGAAAGCTTGCTTCAAATTTGGCTTTAAAGTATGGTAGTTGTCTCATTCTGGATGGATGGGATTAGCCTACTTCCAGTTTTACGCCTGAAGCTACAGCAGGATATATTAGACTTTAAATTTAAATTTACTTTTTTTCCCCAACTTTTTTTATTTGAATTAGAAACAGGATTGTTTTACATGACAATCCCAGTTCCCTTCTCCCACCCATCCCCCCCCCCCCCCCCCCCCCCAACCTCCCCCAAACTAAACCCCTACCCATAAAAAAACCCTCCTCTGCCCCCTGGATGGTGAGGCCTTCCATAGGGGGTCATCAGAGTCTTTCGTATCCTTAGGGATAGGGCGTAGGCCCTTAAATTTACTTAATGATAAGATAAGATTAGAATGCTGGTTAAAGTCTAACTGGAAAAAATGCTATACTTTCTTTTTGCATTTGCTTTAATAAACAAAGTGATTATCTGTCTTAGAAATACCTTTATGAAATTAAATGAAATGTTATCAATTTTTCATTAACTTTAAGTAAAGAAAATCACACATTATTATTCTGCATCCTTTTTTTTTCTCAAGTCCTTTAGGTTTAAGTAAAAATATACTTGACACTGACTTCAACTTTAATATAATCTGGACTTGACTTACCGCAATTTTCCCAAGATCTATGCCGTAATTCAGCGAACTCCACGAGCACTGCTTGTAGTTTGGGGTCCAGGACTCCTCAAAACTTTCCCTTAGACACTCCCCTTTTTCTCCTTTGAATCCA